ACATGAGAAATCGAGTGAATATCCAATGTTGTAAAAATTTGAATTTCAAACGCTCATAAAAATTTAATTTGACTTTCCGGTAGAAATTTTTTTATTGATAAAGGTAGACAATCTTATGAGTAATCTTGTATTAGATTTTCAAATCTTAGATTTAAAAAGAAAAATTTTTACGAATTCTTAACTCAAAATAATTTGCTAATTTTCGTGATTTTTCCATATTTTGTCAATTTTTGAACTTTAAATGCTTATAAGAAAAAATTGTGACTAAGGATTTTTAATATTTTTCATCTGCCTTTGAAACAACATATTAGGAGCCTTCTATTAAATTTTCAAGCTTTCGCAACCAACAAATAAAATTTTATTGAAATTTTTAGAAAAAAAACTATAAAAAAATGGAAAATGAAAATGTCCCTAAACAGTTCAAAATAAATCAAAATATTTTGAAAATGTTATCGTGTATAGAAAATGCAAATATAAACAACCAGTGAAAATTTCATGTATATACGTTCATTTGTTTTAGAGTTACACCAATAACCAAAATCGATTTTTTGGAAAATCAATTTTGCGTAAAAATTCCCGTTTTTCCTTAATTTTTATGTTGTTTTTCCCGGCGCTTGTGAAAACTACTGGGAAATTTAAATTTTGACCTCCCCAATGCACCAACGATATTCACTTTCCAATAGAACAAGATACTGAAGTCGAAAATCGAAGCATTATTTCGACTACTTATCGTGTACACAGATACAAAAAAAATAAAAAAATAAAAAAATAAAAAAATAAAAAAACACACATCATTGTAAAATCAATACATTCATCGTTTCACTCAGAATCTAAAAAATTCTGTTTTATGTTATTTAAGATTAAATCATTACACGATTTTTGCGTCTACCGTTATTTAGAATTAAAACTTACCTATACAAGTTTTAAATTTATCGATCGTTATTTAGAATTAAACGTTATAAGTACAAGTTTTGCAATTATAGTTATTCAGAATTAAAACGTTATACAAGTTTTGAGGTTTATCGTTATTAAGAACAGTGTTATTACCTATTAAATGCATTAATAACTAATGCGGAATATAATGTAATCAATTCTAATGTCCGTATGCATGAAATAAATATTTCTACTAAACTAATATAACTTTTAAAGAAATGGATTTGTAAATTGTAATTATTTCGTTTTGCATTAGGTATTTAAGTATTTTTCATTCAATGAAGTTCTATAAATTACGTTTTGGGTTATATTTTGTCAAATATTTTATAATATATTTTGTTTTGCGGTATTTAATTATTTTTATTTATCACTTTCTGTTATAATTAGGTACCTACGTTTACAAATTTCAACAGTTTTTTTGTCAAATATAATGTTTGCAAGCCCTGGTTCTAGGTTTTGTAGGAAACAGTGGAGTATTTTGAAATTTTTTGTGGGGGGGGTCTAAATATTAGGTACCTACAAGTTTATAATATAAAAAAAATACATACGAGTTACGATGTAATAATTATATTATATATTATATTTTTTTCTGGGAGGGGTCCAGACCCGGGGACCCCCCCCGTAAATACGCCACTGGTAGGAAATGGTTTTTCGATTTGTTGTATTGTTTAATTATAGTAATAGGTAGTAGGTACCAAATGGATTTTCTTTTTTTTTTTTCAAAATGCACTTTAATACTGTTTGTAAAAATGTATTTCTTACAAAACATAGACCAAGAAGCGAACAAATTCAAATATTTTTTTTCAAAATGAACATTATAGGTACTTCTGGAAATATAATATTATTTTTCTTTCACTAATTATTAGTCTAAATGCACGAAGAAACGCCTTCAACTACAGCCTTATTAAATATAATATAGATATAATAGATGATATGCCAACATAATATAAACATAAACTTAGTATAATATAGTATACAATATTATTATTTTTATTTAAAATTAATTATACCAACTACAACAGTCAACAATAGAACATAGTAGGTACCAATTAGTTGTCAGGTATCACTTACTTAATTTTCATACGTATAATAAATTATTGATTAATCATTTAAATATAATTGTATATGTTATTATGGAGTCAGAGATCATAATGACGTAACAATATGATTGTATTATTAGGTATAAGTCAATTTAATACATGATCATATAGTTGTATAGTTATATCCTATAAGGCTATAACTATATCACTCCACATTTATATATTTAAGTCTCAGTCTTTATATCTCTCACATTATATTTTTAATTATCCATCTGGTTATTAAATTGATGAATAACGAGGAAATTGTTGCACATAAGCATAATTAATTGTACGTCACCTATAAATAGATAGGTATGTATAATACTAGCATAATGCTGTCAATAAAAAATAACTAACACGCAACATTTTATGTATTACATGTTTTATGTTTATTGTATGTAATATATTGTATTGTATGTGTTCATGTAGTTAAATACTGGAGTGGCGTAGCCAGGATTTTAAAATGGCGGGGGGGGGGCAAAGCCAAAATATTAAAAAAAATACTCAACAATTAACAATAATAGGTACCTAATCAACTTTTATGGTGTTTCAATGTTTTGATATGTCCAATGGAGAGGGGCTGCCCACCATAGCAACGCCACTGGTTAAATTAATGAATTAATAGGTACCTTCATAAGATGTTTATAAATCAGGTTCTTTACCTTAAGTACTAGGTATATATAACTTATTTTTTTTTTACATTGATATTTATCAAAAATTTTTAAATTCCATCTAATATAATCCACATTGTATATTACTTAATATATTTTTTTTGTACATAAGTTTATACCTATATAAAAAACTATTACATATTATGTACCTAAACTGTAATAAAATGCCTAAAGGTCTAGAAAAAATAACTGTATTTAAATATGATGAAAATCTTTTTAAAATTAATACTTGAAGTTACCACACTCTATTCAACATGTGACAATAATAACTGTAATTATAGTGTCCTTTCCCTAAATCCAAAACTGAGTTCACAGAGATAAAGTATTTAGACTTGATTAGGATGGTGATTGGGTGTGACCGACAATTTATCAGTGACAAAGTTTAGTACTAACATGTGAGGTTGGAAGAAGGCAAAAACAACATCATAAGGCAGTCTACACACTTTATTACATTATGTATAAACATACATACAATAGCTAAGTAATAATATTCCGTATAAATAAATAACTAAGAATATTTAACAATATTATTGTCAAGGCTAGGTGTTGATCGAGCCAGACAAAATCTTCCATATAAAAAACCTATAATTTACACAACTCATGAGTGATATTAACGACAATGGCACCGTATGAATACAAGTAAAATAAATATAACAGGCAATTTATAACTATTACTTATGGACTTAGAAAAAAATAATAAAAATATACACAAAATAGTAATAGTAACAATATTAACTAAAATGACAAACAACAATAACAATAACTGAGCAATACATGGAAGACATACATTATATGGAAGACATATTTATGATTTATATATTATTATATTACCTATTTTATACTACACATAATACATACAATGCAATAGTAACAATTTTAAGGGGATTTGTATAGGCAATTTTGAAAATTATAATTTATATTTCATTGCAATTGGTACTTGGCTGTAAATAACAATAAAAATGAGTTTATTACATAACAGCCCGTGAATAATTTTTTTCAAAACATAATGTCATATTTTATCAGTTGCAACCTTTAGATCAATGTTATATTTTGAAAATAAAAATATAACAACTGTAGGTAACTTTGTTAATGTTATTAGATTTGTCTAAGTGCCTTATATCCAGTGGGCATATTTTCATATTGAAAATGAAAAATCTTCACTTGTTCATAGTAAAAAAGTTATTAAAAAACAAAGTAAATAGGTAGTTTGCGTGTTTCAAACAAACATAAATAAATATAATGTACCTAATATATTGCTAAAACTACTAAAAAGAGTAAGGACTATCAACCTATGAGATTTTAATCATAAATGATTAGCTCAATTTAATTATTGGTAACTACTGATGACTGTTGGGGCATCTTAAAATATATTATAAATATAGAGATGATTGATAAATTGTATTTAATTCTAATAAGTAGATTTCGGATTTTAAAGGTATTTCCTTCTTTTTTTCTATTGCTCTAAAACAAAGCTATGTCACCTATAAATTTGATTTATAAATACTACCCTAAAAGTAAATTAACAAAATTTCACTTTTATTTTTTGAATTTTAATACTTTTTCTGGGTTTTTAGGTAGTTTGTTTGATTTAAGCAAAATTTTTTCAGAATGTGTTCTAAATAAATGTATTCGAAAGAAAGGTTAATATTTATTTTTGTATGATATAATGTGTTCCAAGGAAATGGCTCAATATCGTTATGTTTGATTTAATTTATTGATTAATTGATAAAAGTTGGTACCTGTTCTGTAATTTCTTGACAACCTTCTGTCGTGTGTAATTTTTTTAGAATTTGTAGACCTTTGTTGCTTTATTTTAAGTGCTTTTATTTAGTTTTTTGTTATGAACAGAAATCTATTTAATTAAAATAATTTTTTTTTAATAATTTAAAAACTAGTGGTTTAACTGGATGCTTTTTTGGAATATTTGTTGAGCTTATAGCTTTATTAAGTGCTTTTATTTAATTTTTATTGTTTCAAAATCCGTACCCTACTAATAAGTATAATTTACTAGTAGTATCAAGCGCATGTAATTAATAAATTAACAATAAATCAATGGGGTTCTTTCGTTTTAACTAGTGATTGAAATCACAAATTTAAGAATGAAATTTAATTTTATTATTAATCTACTAGATATTTTGTTTGTTGTTAAAATTAAAAGCCCGCTTCAAACATAATATCAAATCTGTGTTGTCTCCTAGATATTATGCCTGCATCGACAAACATGCATACTTGAAAATACATAATATTGATTTAACGACATATAGGCTACTCATAGCATATCGTAATCAACCAATTAGGAATACATGAAACAAAAATCTCATAGCCCGTATCCCGACATTAATGTCTTGGTACGCTCAACGGTCCAGAACATGACAGCCGATGCAGGAACAGTGCGTAGCAAGGTGGGCGCCAGGCCGCGATATAGGGCCAGTGGGCCCTCGTTGCGCACGGACAGAGCCATAGCCCTCAGGAAACCGCCACTTGAACTTTCGGCTGTACTTCCGCCTCCACCAGCTGCTTGAATTCGAGATTTGATTGCATCTACAGGATACACGACTAGCCAGAGGCAAGTACCTGCTGCTGCGCCTGCTGTCATCGTCACCCAAGCCGGGTCCTCTCGGTGTTCTACCAATGGTGCCGTAGAGGTAGCCAAAGAACTGTGATGCCAATCGTTCATGTACGTACGGCTCGCCTCGTACGCCAGGAAGAACACGTAGTAGCCAGGCATTTCACGTGCCACTGTCGAGCCCAGTCCCCGGTACATCCCTCGTAGACCGCCCTCGGTGGTCCACACCCGGGCAACGACCTGCAGCGTGCCAGCCGCGGCGTTTTGTGGACGTCCAGCCGTCGTACCGGAAACAGCAGCGCAGTTAGCCCTGTCCAGGTCGGCCGCCTGCAGACGGACCTTTATCAGCTCGGTGGGGCATAGAGCGAAGGCCGAGCACAGCGACGCCAAGCTACCGGCAGTAGCCATGCCGGCCGGGCCGAGTTTTTTTTCCACGTCCACGACGGCATTGCTGGCACTGGCCCCGCCGAACAGATCCAACGCGAACGCCACCAACCGCTGGCAAGGGCCATACGCAGCGAACAGTACTCCGTTTTCTGCTACGTTGGCCAACAACGCGGGCGCTGTGCCAGCGTACATGAGCCGGGCCATGCGTCCAGCAGCGGCCATCTTGCTAGCTGGCTGACCGGTGGCCGTCAACGGACACGCCTCGACGACGGCTCCGGCGGCGTTGTTCGTCAGTTGCCGAATATGCGGCGCCGGAGTCACCAGGGCCTGACGCCACATGTCGCGCACGCAATCCCACATGGATCCGCCACCGCCACCACCGCCGTTAGACGTCACAGCCCGAGTGGCCGTGGACAATTGCATGCGTACCTTGACCGTGTCCAGCGGCTGTCCCACGTATACGAGAGCCACTGCGCCGGCGCATCCGCTGACAAGTCCGACTAGTGGCGACGTTGTGGTCATCGTGTCCACCGGCTTGTGCGGTGATAGGAATTCATCAGCAGCAATCGAAGCAGTTGTGACCGTATTTGCACTAGTAGTGACGGCCGCCGCCATATTCGGTCGCGTTTTTCTCTCGGCGGACAGATCACACCGTTTCGGCGACGGCACCCGATTGAAGATCTCGGTAGGTCTGGTGACCGTGTCGTAGTAGTCGCGAGACCGCCGACTACCGCAAGCAAACGATTAAAGTGCTCACAGATGGAACGACAGCCTCCCGCCGTTCGTTCGAATAACTACAGCGACGATTATCGTTAAACGCATACAATATAGATACGCGCAGAATAATTGTGATAACCGATATCGTTATCGCGTACACCCAGTCACCGGGTGGGTAAATCGTCGTGCCGTTGGTCAGTGGTAGCGTGTTCGCGGTTAAGCATGCGGCGGTCAACTGTTGGTGTACGCTGCGTACATCTTACAATGCTGTGCGTATTTGCACGTGATCGAACGGTGATTGTCAGTGAAGCGCTGAGACGTGTGTTCGTGTGAAACTCGAGGGTGATGATTGTGCTGTCGATATTGAGATGACGGTCGGCCGACTTCGGTTTATCGAAAAGGCTACGACAACCGTGACGGAACTGGTCACAAGGATAGTTTTGATCTTTTAAGGCACGTCGCAGTGGTGAGTGGTCGCACGTGCCCTCGTCGTGTCTTTGATCAGCATGTCCTGATTGTGGGCCATGGCACTGTGCCTAGGGATGGGCAAAAAACATCGATTTTTTAAAAACATCGATGTTTTTGGTCGATATATCGATGTTTTACCATCGATGTTTAGTCTTCGATACATCGAAAAAAACATCGAGGTTATGGTCCGATGTTTTTTTTTTTTTTTCCATATTTTTTCCATTTTTTCCATTTTTTTTTTTCCATTTTTTTTAAAGCCATCTTAGGTGTGCATCAGATTTTAGCCCTAAAGGCTGAAGGGGAAAAAATTTTTTCGATGTTTTTAAACGTCGATGTTTTTAAACATCGATGTTTTTACTCCGATACATCGAACACATCGATATTTCAAAAAACGATGTATCGATACATCGAACATCGATGTTCAAAAATTTTTGCCCATCCCTAACTGTGCCCGTAATTCGAATTCCTTTGATAAAATAATATTATGATTACTCACAGAACAATAACATTGACCGTGGTCTGATAACGTCGTCGGTGGCTGTGGCGGTTACGACCAAAACCTCGGTAAACGGGACGGACGGTTATCAGCTGCTGCAGCCACAGATTTCTATATATTGTAGTATAGAAGTCTGTGGCTGCAGCCGAGCGGTATTGATACCGATAACCGTTTAGCATTTTGGTGATAATAAATTATAAGATAGTAAATACAAATTTACAAACTTACGACTGTGGTTTGTGTCCTGTGAGTAGAATGACAAATTGAATTTGTAAGTGAGTGTCATTAGTGGATGACTTCTCACATCAAGTGTAGCCTGTTAATTTTATACTGTAAACACATAAACCTATTGTGCTCCTAAGGCCTAAGGTAAAGTTGTTTATTTCAAATAAAAAAAAAAAAAATGAAAAAAAAAACTCCGGAACTTCAACGCCAGACGCCAGTACACCACAACACACAACATTTGAAATGCCAACTACTGTCTGTCTCACTAATATAGTAATATAGGTACTTAGTTATATTTCTGACAATAGACTGCTTACTGTGGGCTCCCCAACAGAGCCAATGCAAATATAAAATCTACAAACATTAGCTATTAATCATTACTCTTCTTAGGTGGTAACTACGATGGTGGAACACTCGGTGACTTGGCCTGTACAGTTGTAGTGAGGCTGCTGGTTGAATTCCTTGATCACACGATGAAGTACCTTGATTATGGCTGATCAATAACAATTTAAAGTGGTAACACAGGTTTTGGTTGACATACGATACATGGTATGATTAGTTTTTTATTGTAATTTTTTTTGTAGAAGACATTGTTCAACCATCAACTTCATTTGTTGTCATCATTTCTACCATAGCGCCACCTGTCATCGATATTGCTGTTGCTGCTGCTGCTAACAAACATACACCCAAAGGTTATTTCTAGTAGTTCTTTCCAATGATATAGGTAGATGTTATATAAAAGTAATATAAATACATAAAATAATAATGAACAGTGTTGATTAGTAACACAGCTACATAAGTTACTTGTGACAATGTGTAACTATTACATAGTTACTTTTTAAAATTATCTCACCGTTAAAACCTAACCTTTTAAACGCTAGCGTAATCAATGATTAAATTAAGATAGAAGTGAGATATTATTCATAACAGTTTTACCCTAAAATTTAAATAAAACTCATACATCTCTAATTTTTTAAATATTATCCATTTTATGTATAAGGATAAAGGGAGTAACTTTTTGTAAGAGTTTTAATTTTTTTGTCATTGTATGAAATATTAATTTATTTTAATAGAATTAATAAAAATGTATGAAATCACGGTTTTTATTCTTGAAAATTATTATGTAAAAAGTGATAACTAAGATGATGATGTAATATATATTGGCACGACTAACGTCGGGTTAAGTATAGTAATAACTAGGGATCGAATTTTGTAGCAAATGCTTCTTTTGAGGGGAGTGCCATAGAAAGATAATTCTTGACCATAAATACGTTTTGAATCGTTCCGATTTTAATGAAGTAAGCTTGGTTTTGTTTTTTTCACAAAACTTTCTTTTTCTTGCTTTTTCCCCTATTTGGTTCTTTTTCTTGAAAATTTCGCCTATTTCTATGTATATTATACATGTACTTTATTATTATAATCAGAAATAATAAAACCAGTGAAAAACCAGTAATTAATGTATGACTGATAAAATAACTATGGTTATTGTGCCGAAATAGTTTTATCTACAATTATCTATAGTTGTATTTACGACTCAAGGAAAGGGAAAATCGTTGGCCGGTAAATATCAATCGACAATCAGTGAGGTATAGACGTATGGTGTTCTAAGTAATTTCTCTATAATCGTCACAATGCCAAAAGTTAAAAATTTAAATTTAAAATTAAAAAAAATCTTTAGAAAATTCTTATAAAATATTCTTATGACTGACGGAAATATTATATTATTTTAAATGATTTAGTTTATATGAAATATGCACCAATTACATCGGGTGACGTGGAAAGGTCTTTTTCTATGTATAAAAATATATTGGCACAAATAGAATGAGTTTTAATGAAAGTAACTTGACTAAATATATGGTCGTAAATTCCTTTTTTAATATTTAATTTTATTTGTAATTGAAATTTTATTTTTATAATTAAATTAATAAATCCTTTTTTTGGCTACTTAAAATACCTTTTTAAGGATTTATTTTGCTAATCCGAGCCCTAGTAATAACTAATAAATATAATAAGTAGGGATTTTTTTTAACTTTTTATAAATTATTTTTATATTTAATTTTACGAATTAATGTGCGCATTACAATTTTATTTACTTTACATTGATAATTGATAATATTTATATAATATGTATTTACTAACTGGATATAAGGAAAAATTCATTTATAACTTGTGATACAATGCATAATTGAAAAATTTGTTTATTAGTGCAAAATAATTATTTTAACATGTGTACTCTTAATAAGCTAAGCTTTTTAATGATTTTATAATATTTATATTTGAACGAGTTTATCAAAAATATTTATTTTATAAAAATTATCTTATAATATGAAACTTCAATTAATTATAAAATTCTCAGATTTTTATGATATATGTGTCTAAAAATATTTTACATTACATAAAGTAAATACAGAATTTTAAGTTTATCTAATTTAATTATTTTATTTTGAACTATATTTTAAATAGTGAAAGTAATATTATTGTAACTAGTTGCTTTTGGGTAAATAAAATTAATGTTAAATAATATTTTTGTATTCAAGTAACAAATTAATTCTAGTTATTTTTTAAAAGAAACAACTTATCAAACACTGAATTTATATGTTTAATTATAAAGTTATAATTTAGAAGTACCATAATTAACTGTAATTGAATCACAGATTATTGTTGTATATTATGTACAAGTGTAAGTTATAACCAGAAATAATATTGTTAGAAACATGAAATTAGAAATGTATAAAATGTGCCATACATTACAATTTACAAGCATACATATTTGTTGTTATCGTATTGTTATTCAATAATTATCAATAATTTATAATAAGTTTAATTAAAGTTCCCTTGTAATACCATTTACTATGTAATCAATTTTTTTTTATGAGAGTTAAACAATTTGTATCTACATTGTACATAATATGTGGATGTATTATACTTGTTCATATATTCAAATAGTGATTTATTTTTCTCAACTACAAAATGGATAGTTTCTTTCAAAAACTATTAAAACATTTTTCAATTCAGTATATTTCACATTGTGCTTAAAAATTTAAACTGGAACCTTAATGATTTTATCGGTTTCGGTTTATGTTTCGGTTCTGGTTTTGGTTTTTAAAAATATCAAATTTCGGTTTCGGTTAATACCAGTTTTAACTCTTATTATTTTACTTTTTTTTAATTTTATTTTTATCAATAAAGTACTAGGTATACAAAAAAATGAACATATTAATAACTAAATAATCTCTATTTAGTGACAGATATTTGTAATTAAGTGTCACTATTTCCCAGTTTAGGAAATATTATAAAAAATGAATTATTACAAATAATAAATCAAATTTCGAACATATTATCCATTAAATGTTCGAAATTTGTATTATAAATGTTTTTAGTATAGCAAACATTCAATTTTCTCAAAAATTCTTCCATTCTCTTTTGAGCTTTATTCGGATACATGTTTTGTTCTGTAATTGTCTGTTCTCCTATGGTTAAATAGCCATACTTTATGTCGTTTGTTAAAAAGTCAAAAACTATGGGTTCTACATATTGTTCACTGTTTTTTTGTTATTAAAAACTGTTTTGGTATCAAATTATTTGTGTTTAAATACTGTAACTTGTTAATTGTATATTTTGAACGTCACAGAATCTGGTCTATACAATTATTAACTATATTATTAATTACACGAATATGTTTAAATAATTAATTTCTGTAGTTAGCTTA